ATTCAGCTTATAGCTTTGCCCTTTGAATGCTATCATTCTTTTTCCTGTGAATATGTCTAGCAACAGTATTACTGCTGGGTATTCTTGCCGATTCCAGATGCGTGCTCGTGCATAAAAGAACGAACACGCGAAGGAATTTAAACACAATAGAACTACCATCAGTAGCCTTTGGAATCCCTTAACCCAGCTGACATGGTTTGCTTCCGGAGCGATCATTTGATGCTTCCAACAGCAGGAACCTTGCTAAACCGAAGTCACCAACATGGGTTTAGATCACAATGAACAAATGACGTTTAACAATGGTAGTGGCGATATTCTAATGTAGAAACAACATCAATTGCAATATTGAGTCTTTGAGTAAGGCTCAATCTTTTACTTTAACATTGAACTGAAGCCAATGCAGGAAGCTAATGTTGGTTGATTAAGGTCTAAACTGTCATTTTTTTTATTTTATCAAGCTGTTAGTCTTTGTGAAACTAAGTTGTTAGGAATCAATGGTTGAGATTAGCTCTAAATGTGCTAGGCTCAGATGTGAGCAAGTGGCAGGATCTCATAAGGTTTTGTAATCAAGGGTGAGATGAGCTCATAGGTTCTCCTAGATCCTCTCCTTCACCAACGGCTATTTTTGTATTCTTTCGAATGAATGAAAAGGCACACGCAGAAGAGCACGTTGGCTCTCTCTGGGATTTTGATCACAATCCTTCTATCTCATCAATTTCCTTCTCTCTAAGTTCTTCCTTCTCTGATTTGAATTGCTGCAATACTGCTAAACTTCTACAGATTCTAACAGCTAAAACATCTAGTCTGTCCTAGCCATATTAATGATTTTCTTATATCTTTGCAATTGTTTCCTTCTCTTTTTATGTGCTTTTCTGCAACTACATATGAGCGTCTAATTCCATTCACTTTGTTGACAACAACGTCCACAAGCATTCACTGTCCTTGGGGATGTTTCCGAGCATGAGAGTCCCATCTGCGTCATTGAAACCAAACATTCCTCCAATCTTTTTCCCTGGACTGGGCTGTGATCCTGATATCTTGTTATCTGTCATCATAATCTGTATTGCCCCCTTCACAGAGCAATGCAGGATCAGCTATGTCCACAACATGGTCAGACATCGTCCTGGCTGTGAATTTGTGAATGCTTATACCATCTCCAAACGTGGAATCTGCAGGTCTTTTTCCTAGGAACTTTTCTAGCTAGCAACTGTATTCCAATGATATAAACATCTCCTAGTACCGAGATTTGGCCTGCCATGCCAAACTCTGGCATTCAATACTCACATTATGATGTCACAATCAAATATTTTGAATGCTTCTTTTTAAGGGCAAAGAGGAGTTTTCATTTTTTCTCTTTTCCATTTTAACATTAGAGACTTGAGTTGGCTACTAATAAGCTATTACGAAGGAAAAATGAGAATCCTAGAAAATCATACGTGGAGGAATGTAGTCTGCATAACCCTTTAGCCCGGTTGACATGGTTTGACTTTGGGAGGGACTATCTAACGCTTCCAAATTGTGCTGATGACTGTTTTTATTCTTGTCATTCAACAAGCGGGAGATGTTCTTGCTTCGACGAGAGACTGCAAATCCTTGATGTTAACGAGCACGAGCCTAATTGCTTGCTCAGTGGAATAAAAAAAGGGAGAAGGGCTATCAGCCATGTTCAAAATGAATTGCTGTTTCCACAATCTCAATTTTTTGAGAAATTATGAGGTTTTTTGCGTAGAAATCGAATATTTAGATTTTTATAATGAGATTACATCTAAGTTCTTGTGGTCTACCGCAATATTTCTGTGTATAAAAGTGATCATGTACAAGTTATTCGTTTCAAATTTACATCCTAGTAATGCTAGAGCAAGTGCACTGCTCCCTAATCACCTCTTACTTTTAAGACAAGGAATTGACTATATGAACATATGACAAACTCTGAGTTCAGATGGACTATATTGAAAGTTAGAAGAAGAAATATTATTTAGGATATATCAAGCAAATAAAAATAGACTGAAATAGTGCAGGATTACAACATTCCCTTCTGCTGCAATTAGGATTATGTCATATATCGTCGTTGGATTTAAACAGAAACTAACACAAAAAATGTAAATATTTCAGCCATAGAACATCAAAAGTAATTTCAGCAGAAAAAGTTAATAATAAATTTTTCTGATCAAAGTGCAAGCTAGCTCTTTAGTTGGATACTTTTACTACTCCTCTCAATTCCAAAAGTAAAAGTACGATCAGTATGATGATGAAGAGAGAACGACACTAAAAAAAGGCGAGACAAGGGGCATCACATGACTTTCACACAGATTATACTCGACCTGGCTCTTCTCTAGCAGTAATACGATACAAAACAGAGAAATCGTTAACAGAACAAAACAATTTTCCCTTATTCTGGAAAATAATTATAAAATGCTGGGATCAACTTCACATGTTGTCATACACATTGGCACATGAACTATCTTTGGCCAATTATGTTAGGCATTATAAGAGCCGAGAGTGAGACTAAGAAAACAAACTTAGCCCAATATTGTATACTGCTAGCTTCATCTTCATAAATTCATAAATGAGTCTCTAATTGCCTTCATTTTGTTGACAACAACATCCATATGCATCCGCTCTCCAGGGGATATTGCAGAGCACACGAGTCCTATCTGCATCACTGAAACCAAACATTCATCCAATTTTCTTCCTTGGACTAGGCCACGGTCATGACGATTTGTAATAGGGTTTTCTTGTACCTCATTTTCGTATCTGTCATCATGAGCATCTGCATCTTCTCCTTCAATCAGCAATGAAGGGTCAACTATATCCATGACATGATCAGGAATTGCCATGGCTGTGAAATTGTGAATACTTTTACCTTCTCCAAGCATTCCATCTGTAGGTCTTTTTCCCGTGAACATTTCTAGCAACAATATTCCAAAGCTATAAACATCTCCTAGAATGGATACTTCACCTCCCATGCCATACTCTGTCATTCAATACTCGCATTAGGATATCATAATCAAATTGTTATGAATCCAAATCTTATTTAAGAGTTCGCTGATGCTTTTTTCCAAAGAAAAGAGATCTTTTTCTATTTTCTTTCATACACATAGAGACTTAAGTTGACATATATACACCACAACAACAACTTTACAGATTAAACTGTAAGTGACCGCATGCACACACATGCCGCAGCACCATCTATACACCTTTACACATTAAATTACTAGGTAACAGCACACACACATGCAGCAGCACTATCTGCTGTCTTCTGACATCACACATGGGAAAAAGCTTTAACAGTAACCAAGAACGCATGGGAAGACTTCGGACAGCACACATGCACATGCACATTCCTTTCCCTGCTGTTCATGAGTCAGCAAATGCTTGCTGTGCTGTCTGTACAGCTTGGCCTTCTGTCATTCTTCCAATACTTGGGTTAACAAGAACAACTTGAGCTTGACTTCGTCTAACAATTGTTTCCTTTTATGTGCTTTTCGGCAACTACATATGAGCGTCTAATTCCATTCGCTTTGTTGACAACAACGTCCACAAGCATTCAATGTGTGCGGGATGTTTCCGAGCATGAGAGTCCCATCTGCATCATTGAAACCAAACATTCCTCCAATCTTTTTCCCTGGACTGGGCTGTGATCCTGATATCTTGTTACTGGTCTTCCTTGTGTGTCATTGCGATATCTGTCATCATAATCTGTATCGCCCCCTTCATAGAGCAATGCAGGATCAGCTATGTCCACAACATGGTCAGACATCGTCCTGGCTGTGAATTTGTGAATGCTTATACGATCTCCAAACGTGGAATCTGCAGGTCTTTTTCCTATGAACTTTCTAGCTGGCAACAGTATTCCAATGATATAAACATCTCCTAGTACCGAGATTTGGCCTACCATGCCAAACTCTGGCATTCAATACTGACATTATGATGTCACAATCAAATATTTTGAATGCTTCTTTTTAAGGGCAAAGAGGAGTTCTCTTTTTTTCTGTTTTCCATTTTAACATTAGAGACTTGAGTTGGCTACTAATAAGCTATTACGAAGGCAAAAATGAGAATCCTAGAAAATCATACGTGGAGGAATGTAGTCTACATAACCCTTTAGCCCAGTTGACATGGTTTGACTTGGAGGGACTATCTAACGCTTCCAAATTGTGCTGATGACTGTTTTTATTCTTGTCATTCAACAAGCTGGAGATGTTCTTGCTTCGACCAGAGACTGCAAATCCTTGATGTTAACGAGCACAAGCCTAATTGCTTGCTCAGTGGAGTAAAAAAAGGGAGAAGGGCTATCAGCCATGTTCAAAATGAATTGCTGTTTCCACAATCTCAATTTTTTGAGAAATTATGAGGTTTTTTGCATAGAAATCGATACATAGATTTTTATAATGAGATTACATGTAAGTTCTTGTGGTCTACTGCAATATTTCTGTGTATAAAAGTGATCATGTACAAGTTATTCGTTTCAAATTTACATCCTTAGTAATGCTTGAGCAAGTGCACTGCTCCCTAAATCACCTCTTACTTTTAAGACAAGGAATTGACTATATGAACATATGACAAACTCTGAGTTCAGATGGACTATATTGAAAGTTAGAAGAAGAAATATTATTTAGGATATATCAAGCAAATAAAAATAGACTGAAATTGTGCAGGATTACAACAGTCCCTTCAGCTGCAATTAGGATTATGTCATATATCGTCGTTGGATTTAAACAGAAACTAATACAAAAAATGTAAATATTTCAGCCATAGAACATCAAAAGTAATTTCAGCAGAAAAATTTAATAATAATTTTTTCTGATCAAAGTGCAAGCTAGCTCTTTAGTTGGATACTTTTACTACACGTCTCAATTCCAAAAGTAAAAGTATGATCAGTATGATGTCGAAGAGAGAACGACAGTAAAAAAAGGCGACATCACATGACTTTCACACAGATTATACTCGACCTGGCTCTTCTCTAGCAGTAATACGATACAAAACAGAGAAATCGTTAACAGAACAAAACAATTTTCCCTTATTCTGGAATATAATTATAAAATGCTGGGATCAACTTTACATATTGTCATACACATGGGTACATGAACTATCTTTGGCAAATTATGTTAGGCATTATAAGAGCGGAGAGTGAGACTAAGAAAACAAACTTAGCCCAATATTGTATACTGCTAGCTTCATCTTCATAAATTCATAAATGAGTCCCTAATTGCCTTCATTTTGTTGACAACAACATCCATATGCATCCGCTCTCCAGGGGATATTGCAGAGCACACGAGTCCTATCTGCATCGCTGAAACCAAACATTCATCCAATTTTCTTCCTTGGACTAGGCCACGGTCATGACGATTTGTAATAGGGTTTTCTTGTAACTCATTTCTGTATCTGTCATCATGAGCATCTGCATCTTCTCCTTCAATCAGCAATGAAGGGTCAACTATATCCATGACATGATCAGGAATTGCTATGGCTGTGAAATTGTGAATATTTTTACCTTCTCCAAGCATTCCATCTGTAGGTCTTTTTCCCGTGAACATTTCTAGCAACAATATTCCAAAGCTATAAACATCTCCTAGAATGGATACTTCGCCTCCCATGCCATACTCTGTCATTCAATACTCGCATTAGGATGTCATAATCAAATTGTTATGAATCCAAATCTTATTTAAGAGTTCGCTGATGCTTTTTTCCAAAGAAAAGAGATCTTTTTCTATTTTCTTTCATACACATAGAGACTTAAGTTGGCTACTAATAAGTTATTAGGAGAAAAAAAAAAATTGAGAATCACAAAAACGCATACCTGGAGGAATGTAGCCAATGGTACCCTTTAGCCCAGTTGACATGGTTTGACTTTGAGAGGGATTATCCTTCGCTTCCAAGAGGAACTTTGCTAGACCAAAGTCACCAATATGAGCCACCATATCTTCATCCAGAAGAACATTGCTTGGCTTTAGGTCACAATGAACAATCGACGTTTCACAATGGTGGTGGAGATATTCTAAAGCTGAACCAATATCAATTGCAATATTGAGTCTTTGTACAAGGCTCAATCTCTTCCTCTGAGACTGCTCATCATCTGTTGGATGCAGCCACACATCTAGACTTCCATTTACACTGTACTCATATACTAAACTTTTGAAGTCATTGCCCTGATTGTCAATGCTTGAACAAATAGTTATGATCTTGAGAAGATTACGGTGCCTTACACTTCTTAAAGCTTCACATTCACGAATGAAACTATTGGAAGCTCCTTGTTGTTGAAGGTTTAATACCTTAACTGCAACTACAATTCCATCACTAGGGAGCACTCCTTTGTAGACAGAACCAAAACTTCCTGAACCAATTAGATTTTCTCTAGAGAACCTGTTAGTTGATTCAACAAGTTCTTTGTAAGAGACACCTGATTTCCAATCCTTATAAGAACGTGAGCTTACAGGTGTACCTCTTGGCTTATTAGACATTGAACAAGTAATAATGAAGCATGACAGAGCAATTATGGATGCAAGTGCACAAGCTGCAGGGATTACTACTTTCGGGACAAGTAGTCCTCTAGATGAATGAGCCTTTATGTTGGAGCATGGAGGTAGACTTAATCGTGGGATGCCACCACAAAGCCTACCATTTCGAAGAATTGAGAGACCACTTGCATTTAGAAAGATCCCTTCTTTAGGCAATTCACCCTGGAAATTATTATTAGCAACATTGAGGTTCTTGAGAAAACTTAACTTGCCCATAAATTCAGGAATCTGCCCAGAAAAATTATTGCTCGAAATATCCATCTCTTCCAAGCTTCTTAAACTTTTAAGAGATTGAGGAATTGTTCCTTCAAATTTGTTATTTTCCAAGTACAAACGCTCCAACATAATACAATTGCCAAGTGTCGTGGGGATTTCACCCGATAAGTTGTTTCCGGACACATCTAGCTCCACTACGTTTGCCAAATCACTCACTTTAGCTGGTAGTGAACCAGTCAAGTAATTGTTAGACAGGAGCAAATAAATTGAAAGAGATGAAATCCCAATGACCTCTTGAGGTATGGGGCCTGTTAGATTGTTTCGAGACAGGTCAAGCGCTAGTAGACGTTGGCAGTTTGCAAGAGTTGGAGGAATGCTTCCCTCAAACCTATTGCCGCTGACGTAGAGCTCTGTCAACGAAGTCAAGTTACCTAGGGAGGATGGAATTGGTCCATAAAACTTGTTGTCATTCAAATATAGTTCCCCCAACTTCTGAAGCCTCCCAATTTCTTCAGGGATCTTACCGATGAGAAAGTTATAACTTACTCCAAAAAGGGTCAAGTTTACAAGATTGCCGATGCCTCTGTCGATGCTTCCATATATCAAGTTTTTCTCCATTGTAAAAGACGTTAGTTGGGTTGAAAGGTTGGATATGGAGCTTGGCAATTCATCTCTGAATTGGTTATCGTAAAGAGCCAACCCCTCCAGACTTGTACAATTGGCCAAGAAGCTGATAAAATTCAGGTCCCCACTTTTCCCAGTTCCAAGTCTATTGGCACCAAAGTTTAGTCCAACTAAGCTTCGCAATCTTCCAAGGCTTTCACCAGGAACTGTTCCAGTGAGATCATTTTCAGGCAAATTGAGATAACGAAGTCTAGAAGCATTTGAGAACGATGCAGGAATATTTCCTGTGAATTTGTTGCCACCAGCATGAAATTGTTCAAGATTAGGAAGAATAAAGCCAACATTTGGCGGTAGCTCTCCGCGAAGCTGGTTCTGACTGACACCGAAAATGGATATGGAAGAAATATTATAGATTGAAGAAGGAACCATACCAGATAGATTATTTACCGCTACTGAGAATGCTTGCAAGCCTGTTAGACGCCCGAGCTCTTTAGGTATGCTTCCCTGAAAGTTGTTTCCGCCAATGTAAAGACTACACAGAGAAGAAAAGTTTCCTATCCAACTTGGAATAGTTCCAGTGAGATTGTTTTTATCAAACAATAGAATATTTAAATCCAACAACGAACTGAGTTGGTCCGGAATTGGCCCAATAAGCTTATTGGAGTAAAGCTCGAGCACTCTCAGTTGTGTACAGTGAGATATATTAGTTGGAATTTTCCCGCTGAAGGAATTGACAGACAGGTTGAGGTGTTGCAGGCTTTGTAGACGACCCAATTCTTGAGGAAGTTCACCATCAAAATTGTTCCTTCTCAGATTGATTCCAGTAAGAAAAGTAAGATTTCCAATGGAAGGTGGTATGGAGCCTACCAATTTCTGAGACTCCAGCTCCAAAGTCAAGACTCTTTTTGTGATACGGTTGCATGTAACGCCAGCCCAACTGCAGAAATGAATGGAATCATTCCATGACCTCATGATATGAAAAGGATCTTCGGAGATTCTTTTCTTGAAGTCGAGCAGCACCATGCGATCCGTTTCATTTCCAAGACTAGTGCCACTGCTTGGCAGTGTTGCAGATTCCAGAACTGCGGCGCCCATGCACAAAAGAATGAAACCATAAAAGAGTTTAAACAGCCTAATTTGAGTACTACTTGAATGCTCCATCCTTTCTGAAAACACAGAGCAAATAAGATACCAAGTTTCTTTCTAGTTTTTTCTTTTGGCTGTGAAGATAAGAAATCGATTGTCTATTACACAAATACATTAGAAAGAAAACTCACAGACACAGTGTCTAAGGCGGCTTTTTTGTTTAATTATAAGTCATGCAACAATAATTTCTACACACAGGGGGCCCAGCAAGTTAAATATTTCAAAAGCAGTTACAATGCCTTGAATTTTACAAGAGCAATGAATTAAAATATTTTAAGAGCAGTTACGATGCCTTGAATTTTACAAGAACACCTAAATAATTGTTGGGAAAAATTTAGTAGATGAATTAAAAATTCAAGCAAAATAAGAAAGTTCGTAACGTGGTACAAAATTTTGAGTGGAAGGACAAAGAATTCAAGCAATGATACAGTGTGCTGTGTACATAGAGGAAGAAATCTTATCCTCGGAAAAAAATAAGAAGAAAAGAGAGAGCTTCATTGGGTTGGTGGTAGAAAATTTTGAGTGAATGGACAAAAAATTCAAACAATTATGCTACTATGCGAATCAATGAATCATGTAATCATTTTGTCTATTTAGTAGATGGTGAATCAATGAATCATGTAGTCACTTTTGGATCTTTTTCATAATAAAATAGACGGTTAGGCAATATTAGCTCATCGAAGTATGACGATGGATGTAGGACGTGAAACGTGCCCCACATCAAAAAATTTGGATCAATTTGTCAATGAACCACAATTATTCAAAGACAATATTGTTGCTTGTTCATTTGTTGAACTAAATAAAGCCAATGCAGCAGACTATGATTTCCTAGATCTCAATTCTCTGAGAGATAATTAGGTTGATTGCGTAGAAATTAAAAGTTGGAAGCTCTAAATCATATTATTGGCTGTTGGAATATACATATTTTTGTAATTGATTTCCATTAATTTATTTCGGGTACTAAGGTCATCTCCAACAGATTCGGTCAGAGGGTCATAGGGCTAAAAATAGCCCGAAATGACACGAAAATCGTCTCCAACCGAATGCTAGGCCGAAGGATTTGTGGGCCCCATCGGACCAAAACTAGCCAACCGGCTGGCCATCTCCAGCCAGCTAGCCAACCTGCTTTTTTTTTTATACGACCAAACTTGAGTACCACTTGAAGAATGCTCCATCCTTTCTGAAACACAGAGCAAATAAGATACCAAGTTTCTTTGTTGTTTTTTCTTTTGGCTGTGAAAATAATAAATCAATTGTCTATTACACAAATACATTAGAAAGAAAACTCACCGGCGCCGTGTCTAAGGCGGCTTTTTTGTTTAATTCTAAGTCATGCAACAATACACACAGATGGCCCAGTAAGAGAAAAAATTTCAAGACTAGTTACAATGCCTTGAATTTTACAAGAGCAATGAATTAAAATATTTCAAGAGTAGTTACGATGACTTGAATTTTACAAGAACAAAAACAACAACAACAATAAAGCCTTATCTAACGAAGTGTGGGGTTGGCTGTATGAATCCTAGAACGCCACTGCACTGAGCCATGTTTTCCCTTAGATCCAAGTACTCCAAGTCTTTTCTTAGAGTCTATTTCCAAGTCTTCCTTAGTCTTCCTCTAACACTTCGGCCCTGAACTTCTGTCTCGTAATCTCATCTTCCAACCAGAACGTCTATAGGCCTTCGTTTCACATGTCCAAACCACCTTAACCTATTTTCTCTCATATTTCCTTCAATCTCGGCTACTCTTATTCTACCTCGGATATCCTCATTCCTAATTCTATCCTTTCTCGTGTGCCCACACATTCAATGAAGCATTCTCATCTCCGCTACACTCATTTTATGTACGTGTTAATGCTTCACCGGCCAACATTTCATGCCATAAAGCATTGCTGGCCTTATTGGCATCCTATAAAAAATTTCCTTGAGCTTTGGTGGCATACGACAGTCGCACAACACACCTGATGCACTCTTCCACTTCATCCATCTAGCTTGTATTCTATGGTTGATGTCTCCATCAAACTCTCCATTCTTTTGCAAGATAGATCCTAGGTAGCAAAAGAGGTCGCTCTTTGGTACTTCCTGATCTCCAATCCTCACCCCTAACTCATTTGAACCTTCGTTTTCATTGAACTTGCACTCCATATACTTTGTCTTTGACCGACTTATGCAAAGACCTTTAGATTCCAACACTTCTCTCTAAAGGTTAAGCTTCACATCTACTCCTTTCTAAGTTTCATCTATCAACACTATATCCTCTACGAAAAGCATACACCAAGAATATCATCTTGAATATGTCCACCATTGAATCATGTAACCTTACTTCGAATGGAATCTTAGCCTTGCTGAGCAAGACGCATTGCGATTTCCTCTTCTGTGGATGCACTAGAATATGATTCGGGACGGGAAGGGAAAGACTTTTCTCTCCGGTGGGCTTTCTCTCGTAAAGCCAAAGATGCCCCAAGACACAAGGTGCTCCACTTCTAGAATATTAAGTAACTAATTGGTGAAGAACGAAGGTTAACTTAAAAGAAGTCATTCATTAGCGTCATCCATTACCAATGCAAAAAGGTAAGGACTTAAAGATGAGCCTTAATGTAACCCTACCATTATGGAAAAACTTTTGGTTTGTCCTTCATAAGTTCTTAGGGCAGTCCTTGCTCCATCATACACACCCTTGACTTTTACAAGAACAACTAAATAATTATTGGGAAAAGTTTAATGAATTAAAAATTCAAGCAAAATAAGAAAGTTCGTAACTTGGTCCAAAAATTTGAGTGGAAGGAAAAAGATTCAAGCAATCATAGCAGTGTGCATAATGGAAGAAATCTTAACCTCGGAAAAAAAAAATAAGAAGAAAAGAGAGAGCTTCATTGAGTTAGTGGTGGAAAATTTTGAGTGGGTGGTCAAACAATTATGCTACTCTGTGAATCAATGAATCATGTAATCATTCTGTCTAATTCTAGATGGTGAAACAATGAATCATGTAATCATTTTTGGATATTTTTCATAATAAAATAGACGATTAGGCGATATTTGCTCCTCAGAGTATGACGATGGATGTAGGGGAGTAGGACGTGGAACGTCCCCTACATCAAAACATTTGGATCAATTTGCCAATGAACCGCAATTATTCAAAGACAATATTGTTGCTTGTTCATTGTATTGAACTAATTAAAGCCAATGCAGCAGACTATGATTTCCTAAATCTTAATTCTTTGAGAGATAATGAGGTTGTTTGCGTAGAAATTAAAATTTGGAAGCTCTAAATCATATTATTGTCCGTTCGAATATACAGTTTTTTGTAATTGATATTCATTAGTTTATTTCGGGCACCAAGGACCTCTTACAGAATTCATTAACTACTACAATTTATAAGACACTTCATCAGTCTGTAATTCATTAGCTACGAACCAATAATAAATAGGAGATTAGGACATTCCAAGGAAATGAAATAGACTGAAATGATGACAGTCACTACTGCAATTAGGATTATGTCGTATATCGTCGAGCGCTATTTGGTTATAAACAGAAAATAATGCAAAAAAAGGTAACTATTTCAGACCCAGAACATCAAAAGCAATTTTCTTCTATCTACAACTCCAATTACGGAGACAAAATTCGTTCAACAAAAAATTGAATTTCACATAAGCGCAAGATAGCTCTTCAGTCGGAATACTTTTACTACTACAGGTTAATTAAAGGAATGATCGGTATGATGAACGAAGAGAGATTAATGAGAGTTCAAAAAAATGGCGCAACTAGGGCATCCCATCACTTCCACCCAAATTCTAATGCACCTGACTCTTCTCTAGTAGTACCATACAAAACAGAGAAAGCATAAAGAGAACAAACTTAAAGGAGTCTATGATGATTGAGATTACAAAACAAATTTATTCTCGTATACTACAAAGGTTCTTCTTCTTGAATTTTGATGAAAAATTCCATGATTGCTCGAGTATTGTGACATGTTGTTAGACATATATTCAGGCCATTATCAATTCTTAAAGAGTGAATATGACAACCAAAACGAGTTGTTACACGCTTATGAAAATTCTTGAACACATTCATGACTTCACTCTTATACCTGAAAAGATTTAACCAAGTGATTCTTGAATAATCATCCACAAAGGTTATCAAATACTTATAGCCATCAAAAGATTAAATTTTTGGTCCCCAAATATCCTAGTGTACAAGCTCAAAAAGTTTACTAGCTCTACACAAAGAAGAAATGAAAGGCAATCTAGCTGATTTGGAGAAGTGACAAGAAGTCCGTCCGCCAACTACTCTGATTCACTTAGTAGTCCTTTAAAAACAATTAAGTCAGTTAAGCGCGGACGCAGCAAGAATACAAGGACAGCAACATGTAATAAGGAAAAGCAATACTGCAGTAGACGCCACAAAACAATAAGATGAAACAGAAAACACCTGTGTTTATAGTATACAAAGACTGACCGAAATTTCATGGTTAAAGATCAAACAACCTGACTAACAAAACTGATCATTATTAACAACTTGCAACACAAAAATTGACCGCATAACCATATGAACAACATTGCAACCAATACTTTGGGTGTTACGAGAGACAATTGAACATTGCATGAAAGAATATATTAATTCGGACTTGCCAAGCAAGATCAAAAGCTCTGAAATGTGTTATATTCATTTTTGGAGGTATCATATGCAGCAGAGCAAGAAAACAGGAAGTGAAAACCGGAACTGTTGTGTAGTCTATATGCATCATACAGTTAGCCTTATGGGATAAATCATAGCATGCTGCCATGCTGTTTAACCATCTCAGCTTCAAATAACATAAAACTTATTTTCCTGATTGATCTGCAAGATAGTTCTAGAGTATGAATACTTTTGCTACTGCTAATAAGCTACTCTTCTAAATCTAACATATAAAAAAACATAGGATAGGTATGATATGATGACCGTTAGCTGCCATTGAGTTGCCCTAGACAAACAAGGGCAAGAAAACGTTCTTAACTTTCTGCCATATAATTATAGAATGCCGAGTTCAACCTCACAAGTTGTTACACACACTGAAAAATAAATAACCTTAATTCAAATAATTTCTTGCTTACAGATGAGGCTATAGATTGAGAGTAAGTGACAAACCTTGTACAATCTTGTATGTTACTAGCTTCTTTTTTTTTCTAAATATACGTCAGTGTCTAATTCCATTCACTTTGTTGACAACAACGTCTATAAGCATCCACTGTCCTCGGGATATATTTCAGAGCATGAGAGTCCTATCAGCATCACTGAAACCAAACATTCCTCCAATCTTTTTCCCCGGACTGCGCTGTGATCCTGATATCTTGTTATTGGTCTTCCTCGTGTGTCATTGCGGTATCTGTCATAATCAGAATCTGTATCGCCCCCTTCAATGAGCAATGCAGGGTCAGCTATGTCCACAACATGGTCAGGCATCGCCCTGGCTGTGAATTTGTGAATGCTTATACCATCTCCAAACATGGCATCTGTAGGTCTTTTCCTATGAATATTTCTATCTAGCAACAGTATTCCAACGCTATAAACATCTCCTAGGATCGAGATTTAGCCTCCCATGCCAAACTCTGGCATTCAATACTCACATGTGGATGTCAAAGACTCACAATCAAATATTTTGAATGCTTCTTTTTAAGGGCAAAGAGGAGTTATCCTTTTTCTTAGACCAAAAAAAAAAAAAAAATCTTTTTTCTGTTTTCGTTTTTAACATTAGAGACTTAAGTTGGCTACTAAAAAGCTATTAGGAAGGAAATACGAGAATCCTCGAAAATCATAGGTGGAGGAATGTAGTCTATGGAACCCTCTAACCTGGTTGACTTGGTTTGACTTTGGGAGGGACGATCTAGTTTACATCCTAGTATAATGCTAGAGCAATTGCACTGCTCCCTAAATCACCTCATGCTAACTTTTCAGACAAAGAATTGACTGTATAAGCATATATATGACGAACTCTGAGGAGTTCTCGGTGTCTTCTTGGAATATGGAGATGTGCTGGAATACCTGGTTCAATAGACCCCCATCTTCATTGGTCCACATTCTCAACAAAGATGGCTTACCCTGTCCTTAGTAATGTCTTTTGTACTGGTGGTGTGAGGGGATGACGCCTTTGCATTTCGTTGCAGTATCTTATGATCTGTACCACATTACACTACTTCTAGTTTCTTTTATTTTGCTGCTTGCTTGCCTCTTCTGTGGGCTTTCTTTGTACTTATGGCTTTTGCCCTAGTAATGAAAACTCTGAGGAGTTCAGATAGACTATATCGAAAGTTAGATGAAGGAATATTATTTAGGATATATCAAGCAAATCAAAATAGACTGAAATAGTGCCGGGTTACAACAGTCCCTTCTGCTGCAATTAGGATTATGTCACATATCGTGGAAACTGGTTGGATTTAAACAGAAACTAATACAAAAATACAAATATTTTAGCCATACAACATAAGTAATTTCACAGATCAAAGTGCAAGCTATCTCCTTAGTCGTAATACTTTTACTATTCCTAGGCTACTAATCTCAATTCAAAAAGTAAAAGTAAAGTATGATGAAAGAAGAGAGAAATGACACTAAAAAACAGAGATTATACTCGACCTAGGCGAGACAAGGGGCATCGCATGACTTTCACACAGATTATACTCGACCTAGCTCTTCTCTAGCAGTAATACGATACAAAACAGAGAAATCGTTAACAGAACAAAACAATATTCCCTTATTTTGGAATATAATTATAAAATGCTGAGATCAATTTTACGTACTGTCATACACATTGGTATATATACCTATCTTTAGCAAAATTATGTTCTGGCATATATGAGTCTAAAGAGTGAGATTAAGAAAACAAACTTAGCCCAATCTCGTATATTGTTAGCTTCATCTTCTTAAATTCATAAATGAGTCTCTAACTGCCTTCATTTTGTTGACAACAATATCCATATGCATCCGCTCTCCTGGGGATATTTTAGAGCATGCGAATCCTATCTGCATCACTGAAACTAAACATTCCTCCAATTTTCTTCCTTGGAGTAGGCCGCGGTTATGACGACTTTTAATAGGTTTTTCTTGTACCTGCTTTTCGTACCTGTCATCAATATCATCTGCATCGTCTCCTTCAATGAGCAATGAAGGGTCAACTATGTACGTGGGATGATCAGGCATTGCCATGGCTGTGAAATTGTGAATACTTATACCATCTCCAAGCATTCCATCAGTAGGTCTTTTTCCCATGAACATTTCTAGCAGCAGTATTCCAAAGCTATAAACATCTCCTAGTATGGATACTTCGCCTCCCATGCCATACTCTATCGTTCAACACTGACATTAGGATATAACAGTTATGAATCCAAATCTTATTTAAGAGTTTGCTGATGCTTTTCTTTCCAAGGAAAAGAGGTCATTTTCTATTTTCTTCCATACCAATAGAGACTTAATTCGGCTACTAGTAAGTTATTAGGGGAAAAAAATATTGAGAATCACAAAAACGCATACCCGAAGGAATGTAGCCAATGGAACCCTTTAGCCTAGCTGACATGGTTTGACTTTGAGAGGGATTGTACGCCGCTTCCAAGAGGAACCTTGCTAAACCAAAGTCACCAACATGAGCCACCATATCTTCATCAAGGAGAACATTGCTTGGCTTTAGATCACAGTGAACAATTGCCGTATCGCAATGGTGGTGGAGGTAATCCAATGCAGAAGCAACATCAATTGCAATATTGAGTCTTTGGATAAGGCTCAACCTCTTGCCTTGAGATTCCTCATCATGCAACCACACGTCTAAACTTCCATTTACCATGAACTCGAAAGCTAGACTTTTGAAGTCATTGCGCTGATTGTCAATGCTTGAACAAGCAGTTATGATCTTGAGAAGATTATGGTGACTTACACTTCTTAAAGCTTCACAGTCACGAATGAAACTCTTGGAAGCTCCTTGTTGTTGAAGATTTAATGCCTTAACTGTAACTACAATTCCATCACTAGGGAGTACTCCTTTGTAAACAGAACCAATACTTCCTGAACCAATCAGATTTTCTCTAGAGAACCTGTTAGTTGATTCAACAAGTTATGACTAAGAGACACCTGATTTCCAATCCTTATAAGAATGTGAGCTTTCAAGTATACCTCTTGACTTCTTAAGCATTGAACGAGCAACAATAATGCATGACATAGCAATTATGAAGTCAAGTGCACATGCTACAGGGACGACTACTTTTGGGGCAAGTAGTCCTGGAGATGAATGAGGCTGTATGTTGGGGCATGCAAGTAAAGGTAATTCTGATCTGCCACCACATAGCTTAGCATTTCCAAGAATTGAGAGACCAGTTGCATTTGAAAAGATTCCTTCTTCAGGCATTTTACCCATAAAATTATTATGAGAAAGATTGAGATGCTTGAGAAATTTGAACTTTCCTATAAATTCAGGAATTTGCCCAGAAAAGTTATTGCTTGAGAGATCCATTCATTCCAAACTTCTCAAACTTTGAAGAGAGTGAGGAAGTGTTTCTTCAAATTTGTTATCTTCAAGGTGCAGGAGCTGCAACATAATACAATTGCCGAGTGTCGTGGGGATCACACCAGATAAGTTGTTTCCCGATATATCTAGCTCCGCTAGATTTACCAAATTACCCACTTAAGATGGTAGTAGACAAGACAAATGATTGTTAGAAATGCGCAAATAAATTGAGAGGGACAAAAGTCCAATAAGCTCTTTAGGTATGGTGCCTGTTAGATTGTTACTAGAAAGGTCAAGCATGAGTAGGTGTTGGAGGTTTCTTATACTTGGAGGCATATTTCCCTCAAAACTATTATCGTTCACGAAGAGCTTTGTCAACGAAGTCAAGTTACCAAGGGAGGCTGGAAATGAACCCGGAAAATTTATTGTCATCTAAATACAGTTCTTGTAAATTCTGAAGCCTCCCAATTTCTTTAGGGACATGACCAACGAAATAGTTAGAATTCATTTGAATAACGGTCAAGTTTACAAGATTCCCAATGCCTCTGGGGATGCTTCCATGTATCAAGTTTTTCTCCATCGTAAGAGATACAAGCTGGGTAGAAGGGTTGGATATGGATGCTGGCAATTTACCTCCAAGTTGATTATTGTAAAATGCTAACACCTCCAGACTAGTACAATTGGCCAAGAAGCTGATAAAATTTAGATCGCCAGTGTAACTAGTTCCGAGTCTATTGGCACCAAAGTTTAGCCTGACTTGTGTACTACTTGAATGCTCCATCCTTGCTGAAACATAGAGCAAATAAGATACCAAGTTTCTTTCTTGTTTTTGTTTTTTTGGCTGTGAAAATAAGAAATCGATTGTCGATTACACAAATACATTGGAAAGAAAACTTACCGACGCCGTGTCTAATAAGGCGGTTTTTTTTGTTTAATTCTAAGTCATGCAACAATAATTTCAACACACATATGGACCAGCAAGATAAACTATTTCAAGAGCAATTACGATGCCTTGAATTTTACAAGAGCAATAAATTAAAATATTTGAAGAGCAGTTACGATGCCCTTGAAGTTTACAAGAGCAACTAAAGTTTAATTGTTGGGAAAAGTTTAGTTGATGAATTAAAAATTCAAGCAAAATAAGAAAGTAGGTAACGTGGTAAAAAATTTAAGTGGAAGGACAAAGAATTCAAGTAATGATAGCAGTGTGCATAAAGGAAGAAATCTTATCCCCGGAGAAAAAAAATAAGAAGAAAAGAGAGAGCTTCATTGAGTTAGTGGTAGAAAATTTTGAGTGGATGGACAAAGAATTCAAACCATTATGCTGTGATTCAATGAATCATGTAATCACTTTTGGATCTTTTTCATAATAAAATAGATGATTGTGCAATATTATTTCCTCGGAGTATGACAATGGATGTAGGACGTGGAACATCCCCCACATCAAAACATTTGGATCAATTTGTCAATGAACCGCAATTATTCAGAGACAATATTGTTGCTTGTTCGTTGTATTGAACTAATTAAAGCCAATACAGCAGACTATGATTTCCGAAATTTCAATTCTTTGAGAGCTAATGGGGTTGTTTGCGTAGAAATTAAGATTTGGAGGCTCTAAATCATATTATTGTATGTTCGAATATACAGATTCTTGTAATTGATTTCCATTCATTTATTTCGGGTACTTCATCAGTCTGTAATTCATTAGCTACGAACCAATTATAAATAGGAGTTTAGGACATTCGAAGCAAATCAAATAGACTGAAATGGTGGTGGTCACTTCTGCAATTAGGATTATGTAGTATATGTCGAGCGCCTTCTGGTTATAAACAGAAAATAATACAAAAAGGTTACTATTTCGGACCCAGAACATCAAAAGTAATTTCCTTCTATCTACAACTCCAAATATTGAGACAAAACTAGTTCAACAAAAAATTGAATTTCACATAAGTGCAAGATAGAGTAGAATACTTTTACTACTACCAGGTTACTCATGTCAAAAAGTAAAAGTAAAAGAATGATCGATGAACGAAGAGAGAAACGATAGTTAAAAAAATGGCTAGACTAGGGGCATCTAATCAGTTTCACACAAATGTACTGCACCTGGCTTTTCTCTAGTAGTAGTACCATACAAAACAGAGAGAGCATAAACAGAACAAACTTATTCCTTTCTCGTGTACTACAAAGCTTTTTCTTATTGAATTTTCAGATACGAGTCCCTTATTGCCTTCATTTTGTTGACGACGACGTCCATAAGCATCCGATCTCCTGGTGAAATTGCAGAGCAAGAGAGTCCTATCCGCACCACGATAACCAAGCATTCCTCCAAGCTTCTTCCTTGGACAGAGCTGCGGTCCACATATTTTATAATTGGTTTTTCATGTACATCATTTCTGCATCTGTCATCATTATCATCTGCTTCTTCTCTTTCAAAGAGTAATGCAGCGTCAAGTATTTCACCGGCATTGTCGGGCATTGCCATGGCTGCGAATTGGTGAATGCTTAGACCATCTTTGAACATGTCATCTGTAGGTCTTTTTCCTGCAAACATTTCTAGCAACAGTATTCCAAAGCTATAAACATCTCCTAGTGTGGAGACTTGGCCTCCCATGCCATACTCTGCCATTCACTACTCGCATTAGGATGTCAGTCAAATGTTTAGAATTCTAAATTTATTTCAGTGTTTTCTGATAATTCATTTTCAAGGCAAAGAATCATTTACGTTTTTCTGTTTTATTAAATACTAATACAGACACAACTAAGTTGGCTACGAATAAGTTAACGGGAAGAAAAAGGATAACCAAATAAATTCATACCAGGAGGAATGTAGCCTATGGAACCCTTTAGCACAACTGACATGGTTTGACTTGGGAAGTCGTTATTTGATGCTTCCAAGAGGAACCTTGCTAAACCAAAGTCACCAACATGAGCCACCATATCTTCATCAAGGAGAACATTGCTTGGTGAACAATTGTCGTATCACCATGGTGGTGGAGGTAATCCAATGTGAAGGTTAATAACTCTTGGTATATTGATAATGGTTGCAGTAATCACATGACAAGTGATGAGAGGTTGTTAGTCAATATCCAGAGAAATTTGACTTCCAAAGTGAAAATGGGAACTGGAGAAATTGTTCAGGTAGCTAGAAAAGGAACTTTGGTGATAGAGACCAAATTGGGAAGAAAACATATACAAGAAGTGATGCTTGTTCCTGGACTTGAGGAGAATCTTTTTAGTGTTGGACGGATGATGGAACATTGTTATTACTTGGTGTTTGGAGGAAATGTAGTGAATATTTTTTATGGCTGGTCACTTGACAATTTGGTAATAAGAGTACAAATGACTAATAATAGGTGTTTTCCTTCGACAATGGTGCTTGCAACACAGTTTGCACTAAGAGCTAGTGTCACACATTGCTCTTAGATATGGCATAAGAGATTGGGACATTTGAATGAGAGAAGTCTCCAGTTGCTTGAAGAACAGGAAATGGTGCATGGATTGCCTCACTTGGAAATGTCCACAAGTGTATATGAGGGTTGTATGATGGGAAAACAACACAGGGACTCATTTCCCTCTAAATCAACCTGAAGAGCCAAGGATCTACTAGAATTGATTCACACAGACATCTGTGGTCCAATGCAAGTTGAAACTCATTCTGGAAACAATTATTTTCTTTTATTCACATGTGATTGCACCAGAATGACATGGGTGTCCTTTTTGCGATATAAGTCTGATGCATTGGTGTGTTTTAAGCAATTTAAGGCAATGGCTGAGTTGCAATGTGGATATAAGGTTAAATGTCTCAGAAGTGATAGAGGAGGAGAATTCCTTTTTGCAGAATTTGACAAGTACTGCAGTGAGCTAGGAATTCAAAGACAGTTGACTATGGCCTACACTCCCTAACAAAATGGAGTGTCAGAGAGAAAGAATAGGACTGTGGTGGAAATGGCAAAGTCAATGTTACATGAAAAGAATATTCCATATGCATTTTGGGTAGAAGCAGTGAACACTGTAGTTTATTTGCTTAATAGGTGTCTTACCAAAGCATTGAAGAAAACAACTCCATTTGAAGCTTACAGTGGTAGAAAACCAGGGATAGCTCATTTGATGGTCTTTGGTTCACTTTGTTATGTTCACATTCCTTCAAATCTCAGACACAAGTTGGAAGAAAATTGTCATAAGTACATCTTTGTAGGCTATGGTGCTAGTGAGAAGGGTTACAGATTGTATGATTCGATTTCAAGGAAGATCATTTTATCAAGAGATGTTACATTTGATGAGAATGCTTCCTGGGATTGGAACTACACTACCAGCAATGAAGTGAGATTTCCAGTTGTCACTAAGTATCAAAATGCTAATGAGATCTATGAAACTGGTGAAAGTTCTCATTCTGAGCAACTTGTTATTTCTCAAAGTGAAAATGTGATTGACAGGTCTTAAGTATATGATTCTACACCTAAAAAGTGGAGAAGTGTGAATGAAATTATGGCTCAGTGCTACATGTGTATTGTTGAACCTAAAAACTATGATGATGCAGCTAAAGATGAATCATGGAGAAAAGCAATGGAAGCTGATAGAGAAGAATAATACATGGCAGCTTGTTAAGAGACCATTTGACTTACACCACTTTCTTGGAATGGGAGTGTTACAAACTAAGAAGAGTATTTTCATACACCAAAAAAAGTATGCACATAAGTTGATTGAGAGGTTTGGTTTAAAAGACTGCAAAAAAAAGTAGCTACTCCACTTGCAATGAATGAGAGATTGAGCAAGATTGATGGAAGTGAAGCCGCAAATGAAGGAGAATATAGGCAGATTGTAGGAAGCTTGCTCTATTTGACTACAACTAAACTTGATGTGATGTTTGCAGCAAGTGTATTGGCAAGGTTAATGCATAATCCTACCAAGAAACATATGGGGACAGCAAAAAGAGTGTTGAGATACATTCAGGGAACAATTGATTTTGGAATTGTTTTTGAAAAAGGGAAGACAACTACTCTAATTAGTTACTGTGATAGTGACTGGGCAGGAAGTGAGGATGATATGATGAGCACTTCAGGGTTTGCATTTACACTAGGATCTAGTGTATTCTCATGGGCATCGATCAAAATATGTTAGTGCTGCAAAAGCAAAATATGTTAGTGCTGCAAAAGCTATTTCTCAAGCATAATGGCTGAGGTTTGTACTTGAGGATTTTGGAGAAGAACAAGTGGAAGGAACTCAGATCATGTGTGATAACATATTAGCCATTGATATGGCAAAGAACCTTGTCCTTCATCAAAAGACAAGACACATCAGCAGAAAATTTCATTTCATCCAAGAAGTAATCTAAGCCAAAGAGATTGAACTGGTGTACTGCAGGACTGGGGAGCAAATTGTAGACATACTCACTAAAGCTTTGCTAAAGATCGATCTACATATCTAAGGCAGCTACTCGGAGTTAAATCAATATTATATGGCAACTCAAGGTTAAACTGGTGTGTAACCCTTCAGCTGAAGCTTGGTGGCAAAAATCAATTTAAATGTTTTTGTTTTTAGTTTGAATCTGAGCCACTGGATCATAGTCCATATGGCAGCTCAATCTTATAACTAGCTTAAGTAATAGATTAAGACAAGTGGCATCATCTCATAGGGTGATAGCAATTAAGGGTTAAGATTGTATCTTGGTTTGGTGAGTGAAAGATCTCCTTTCCTCTCCATGTATAACGGTAACAAACACACACATGTTAGTAGAGTGTGAAAAATTAGAAATATATTCCATCATCTTCTCTCTAAAACTCTCTCTACATTCTCTGCCATTTTCAAAGGTTGCAGAAAAACCTCCATTGAAATACACACTAAACACACATACACTAATAGTTTCTCGGGTGAATTAATCATTCCATGAGCTCATGATTCAAAGACGATCTCGAATTATTCTTCTCTTGAAGTTTAGCAGTGTCATGACTCACGAGATCGGTTTCATTAACAAAAGTACTACCACCGGATAGTGAGGTTCCAGACTGTAATCCAATTAGGCCAATTTAATAGAATCAAGATCCTCTTCAGATCTCCAAGTCCGGATCCCGTGGACCCAAAAATCTGGTTCGTTCAAAGAAGCAGGAGAGAGAGATCAGGCTCCTAATATGTGTGAGGTGAGACGGTATGATGCATAAAAAGGGACTGCATGATTTTAAATTAGTGATCCGGATCTTTGCATTCGTGGGCTTTGAACACAGAGACTAGAAAAGATCGCAATTCAATTTAATATAACCCTAGTATTTCAATGCAAATCATTAGAGCAGCATTATTGTTTCCCTACCTAAATGACTACATGACAATGATATAAAATTCCAGCATAATAAAAATATGGACAGGAAACTTTCATGAAAAGGGCTTGGGTTAAGTTTATTTTAATAAAAAAAAACTATGCTATAATTATGAACTTAAATTTTAATGAAAGAAGACATAATTTTAATATTAAAAAAATTATACAAAAAAAAAAAAAAAAAAAAACTGACGCTCTACGCTTCCTCACACAAATTGTTTATGAAACTTAAAGGTACTACATGTTTATGAAACTTACTCATTGTTTATGAAACTTACTTCACTATTTATGAAACTTTCTACACTATTTATGAAAGATGAAGATTAATTATATATGTAGTTATATAATAATATATATGTGTAAAAACAACAAAAAATTCCTAATCCTATTTTTGTGTATATAATCTACAAGGGACGAATTTGACTAAATTCGTGCACAAGCAGTAGTCTAATACAGATGCAAAGAAAATATTGGATAATATAAAATTGTTAAAGAGAAAGAGGGGAGGCGTTGTTGTTAGGAAGAGTAGTTGTTGGAGGAGAAGGAAATGAAAAACAACAAGGCTATGATGAAGTATTGCCCGCACTTTATTTAAATTTTGTTTTTTTTTTGTTTTTTTTCATTATCTTGTCCTTATCATTAAATAAAGTTTAAGATGACTTTTGGTTAAAACTCAAAATTTTGAAATCATTTTCATTCGTTTCCTTTTAATATAACCCTTGTATTTCAATCCAAACCATTTGACCATCTATATTGTTTGGGTGATTTTGTAAAGTAAAAAGTTAGAATATTAACAATATATCAACAAGTGTTAATTATAAATGCACTTAATACTATGGTCTAGTGGTATTCATTTTCACTTGTAAGTGAGAGGCCTTAGGTTCGATTCTCTCCAAATGGAGTTGGACCACATTATTGTTAGTTCATTGTGAGACTAAGCTCACCTCTTTCCCGTTAGTGTAGATAATATCGTTTGTTCAAAAAAATTGTTAATTATAAATTCTTATTTTACATTTGGATTAAGATGTTGTTTCCTGATTCTTTTTTTACACTTGGATTCAGACACTGCGATGGAGTGTCTGTTTCCTGATTCAGTTTTTTCCATCACTCACACACCTCCTATGTTTCATGCCTTATGCAACTCCTAGTTTTTATATTTGGACTCAGACACTTGAATGCAGTGTCTGTTTTCTGATTTTATTTTTTACCTTTAGATTCAGACATTGTGTTGTAATGTTTGTTTTCTGGTTTTGTGTTTTCCGTCACTCTCAAGCCTCCTATGCTTCACACCTCATGCGATTCCTGATTTTTATATTTGG